TCACTGCAGTGAAACCCCTGGAGAGCATCCAGGTGCTGTACAAAGTTCCAGTATACAAAGAGGGTACTGGAGGACATTCTTGAGCACCCTCACTGTAGTAACTGTGAGATCATCCGGATCTCTCACTGATGTACCAAGTGCATCTCTTACTGATTCACAGCTGCTGGCATTTGTATAAACAGAGCAAAGAGTGGTTTCTTTTTCAATAACTCTTTTTTTACTGCCTGAAAGGTTTTCTCCATAAAAACTCGAAGGCAAGCCAAAGAAATTGCTAACTAGCTCCCTTGTTACCCCATTAGTAAAACAAGCAATTTCAGTTTTGATAACCCTTCAGTTTGGCTGAAATATAATACATTCAAATGTCCCGGCGCGGCAGGATAATCAACTGTACGAAGACAGCGTACAGACCCCTCAGGGTCTGACTTTGTATTTATCTTCTGACTGGTGCACTGATGGCCACTCAGGTCAGGCTGTCCAAACACAACTCTGACCACTCCAAAGAGAGAGTGGGACCCATGTATACCCCATCCATGTCTGTGTGGCTTGGTATTTTAAGGCCAATTAACAGTGATTCACTGTTGGACAGTGGCACGCATGGGCTGTGACATCACTGAAGTGGCCTTAGGGAACTGGTTGGTTCTTTTCTTGGACTTTCTGTTTTAGCAGTTGTGGGCCAGAGCAGCTGAGATGACATAACATGCACCATTATCTTTACCACAACCTTTGCACTACATTACAACTGACCTTTCAAAGCGAAAAACCATAGCTCAGTGGCATAAAATAGACTTGAATGTAGACTAAATGGATAAAAGCGTATGTGAGGAAAAACTGCCCTGTTTGCATTTTAAATCATTGCACTTTATTATGCATTAGAACTGAAGTATACAGCGTGTTCATGAGCTTTTAGCGCACTTTGCTATCTATCTGGGAAAGTCACATCATGAGCGTGGATTAAAAACAGGCATTAATTTTGGGAATTGAGTGGTTAACTAAACACAGTTGGTTTTTCTTAAAAACACAGTGCTGGAAAGCAAAGAGTAATGATGAGTGTAAATTAAATGGATCACCAAAGGACGGGAGATAAGTGTATCATGATGAATTATTGCGACAGTTTTATTGCGAGCAATGTGTACTATATGTGTTCACACCAGTGTCTTGGTAACTTGACTTACTGACTGGGTACGCAGAATGTCTGTGCGAGCTTGACATTGCTGCATCGCTATCTCTTCATCAGTACATTTGAATGCGGTGGACCACCCGAGCGGAGCGCTGTGTGTTTGATTGTGGGATTACTGTGTGGAGGAGAACGTGTTTTGATTAGCCATACTGTAATCTCCCGACAGGGATTCTTCGTGGGCTTGGCGCACTCTGGTGGGCCGTGTAAAGATCCAGCCAAATAACAGCCTCGCTCGAAGCAGAGCGGCGTGTTGTCTGCTTATCTCCACAGCTGTCCTCAGCTTCTCACCAGCAACAGCCACAAGCTAGAGCTGCAGGCTTCACTGGCTCAGAGGCGGTCATGTCTCACACAGAAGGTTCACATTCCACCAGTCACTGTGGACGGCAGCATCGAAGACCACGACTACCTGCACAGAGGCGCTTTGTCCATGGCTACCTCGCTTGCTGCCAACATCGTGCCAATGGGAGTGCGAAAGATATTTATCTCTGGACATCGTATAAACCACTAAGGCATATTTCCACCTGCCTTTCAAACTGGAATGGAATTTAGCCCCAGCGTCTCAAACTCACAGATTCTCTACATCATGGCTGTGATTCATAAACAAAGTCATTACGTAATCTGTTGCCATCCAGCAAGATAAACATCAATACTACACAATAAAATCTGTTTTTCCAACTTAAAAGAAGAAGAAATGCAGACAGCAATGATTAATGGCACATTAAAATCCTTCCATGACAAATAATTACTCATGAAGAGGAGTCATTTGAACAAATCCAAGGCATGACTAAATGTGTGGTGACTGGTTCATTCAATGGTTGGCTACTGATTGTGTTGTACATTGGATTTACACACAAGGATCCTGGTCAGGGGTTTGGCTGTGTCAACTGAAAGTGGAGATTGCATAGCATAAGAGCTGTGGCTGAATGTATAGTTACTTATAGTTAAAGCGGTCACATGAAGAGAAGCCTTCTCAGTAACAGTTAAAGTCAAAAGAACGCTTCCATGCTCTCTGAGCTGGCCTTGATACGTGGTGATAGAAAAAGCATGACCATTCTTGGATGATAGTTCGCTGGTAGACAATCAAACAAGGGAACTACCAGCATTTTATTAACACCTCAAACCACGCTCGTGCTTCCAGCTGAAGCCACCGAGCCAGTGTTTTTAAAAGCAGGATTCATCTACCCTCCTGCTGACTGCCAGAGTCAATCACCCCGTCATCAACCCGACTCAAACAACCTGCCCCTAATCAAAATCAATGACTGCTTCCAACACTTTTTGACGGGTGACAAATAAAACACTTTGGAGAATCTGGTGTTTGTCTACCTGAAGAGATGTTTCTTTGTGTGGTCGCTGTCGCGCTACTGCTGTGGTCATCCTGGGAATTTGTCCACGTCTGATTGGTTGTGATTATGTTTTCCAAGTGCTGAGGGATGTCTTTGTTTGCACAGATGCATCAGGGTTGTTATCCAGATGTGACAGAGCTGTTGAAGCCAGTGATGGATGACCGGGAACTATGAAAGAGCGGTGTGGTTCTTACATTGTGGTGTGTTCTCAGCCAGTGCTGTACATGTGCGTGTGTGTGCTTGCGCGTGTATGCGTCCGTGCATATGTCTACGGCTACACCGCATGCATGTGCGCGCTTTTAAAGTTGATGGGTTTTAAAATAGGGAGTGAAAGGGAAAAGAGCAGCAGCCAATCAGACCTTTTTAAGAATCACTTTTTTTCGAGTTAGCAACAGATTCTGTGGACTGCTAATTGCCTCTTTTGTCCCGTTCAATAACACAAAAAGTGGCCAAAAATAATGATCGAAGTCAGTTTGAGTTCACACACTTGTTCATTAGTGGAGCCTCAATGTCTGCTACTCTTCACATCCCACCAAGCTGTAATACCACTGTTGGAGACACACTGGAGATACTGGAAACTAAGCTTCCTTAAGTGACACGTCAGCTAGCCTCACAATGGTTATGCAACAGCTGCATCTGCGAGCCAAAGCACCAGCAGCACAACCCACTAAATAAAACCAAGAGGGCCTTCATCACACCATGGACGCCACACTTCACAGCAAGTAGTCAGTGACCAAAGGCTCCAGTGCGCAGGGCCTCAATTTGGATACGTGATGGGCAACTGGTGCTAACATGCAAGAGCTGCATCCAATAAGCATCCAATGGGTTTGGGAGAGAAGTGGCTCCTCACAAACAGGCCTTTCATGTGGTCGTCAGTTTAAGTGCTCTAATGCTCGGCGAGACACTGAGGCCTAGTGCAGGGAAATGGAACAATACATTTAACCACATGAAGCACAGCGCCCAGGATTACTTCTGCACATATTTTCTCTCTCCCGGCCTCTTTGACTGAACTGCAGTCTCTCGCTTTGTCTTTCTCTCCATACGCTTTTGCTCTCTTTGCTCTCCCTCGCGCAAACACACGCTGCCCCTGCAAATGAGCACCGCTATAAACAGGGAATTTCTCCTAAACCCTCTTTATACACATGCACACAGACGTGCACAGTGGATGACACATTACAAAACAGAGCTTAGCGTTCATGTAGAATTACACCGTTGTGCATTCCAAGAAAAATACACCACTCGCAAGACAGTGCAATATAATTATAATTGGTTTTACAGGAATTTATGTGAGTTATTGCTGGTGATAAACTGTTTTTTTTTCTCTCCCATGTCTTTGGGTGTATTTGATAAGTACACATCTGTTTCTGCAAGTGCATGAAAGAGGAACACTTGCGTGCTCGCACCAGTCTGGCCTTAACCAGTGACAGCCACACACTCTCTCCTCCTCCTTCCCTCCCTTTAATTCTTTAAAGACAGATGTGCATACTGACAAGCCATCCCTTCATCCATCACTCGGAGAAGAAGAACAAGGAGAAAAGGAAGAAACTATACTTCATCTACCAACCCTGCCTGCATCTCAACACACCAACTAAACAAAAACACCTAAGCAAGTCCAACAATGTGTCATCTCAGGGCTGAGAACGCCCTCATCCTCCCTCAGCCAAGGCTCAGTTCTGCTCCTCTACAGACACCACCAGTAGCCTTGGGTCACCACCACACTAAAGTATACCAATGGCTTCTACCCAAACATGTGTTGTTGTTACACACCGCTGGAGATGGTATCTGCTGCTCCTACTTGAAACTGTGCAAATCCTTTTTTTTTTGTGCATAGTGGCAGCTACTGACCAGGTAGTTATGATGAATTGCCTGTCAACAGCAATAAATCATGCACACATGCATAGGAACACACAAATGTAGATTTATGCCCTCTATTCTTGCACGTTCAGGCCACCATAACTTATTGTGGAAAATAATGATCTTTGGGATAAGCACAGCCATGGATAAGTGAATTAAATGGTACTTTGCTTAACCACAAGACTGTGAAAACCGATGCCAAATATTTGGTCAGGCAGAAACAGGCCTTTGTCTGTCTCAGAGAGCCACTCAGAGGACAGCTCGCCGAGCACAGAGACACGAGGAGCCCCCGTGAAGACGATGACAGCTACATGATGCCACCACGCTGCAACGACCATAACAAGCTGCGTCAGATGTACTTATGTCAATACATTCATCGTGAATATATTTTTGTGCTGTTTTGTTCTTGCACTTTTTAAATGCACACATGTGCGTTTGATTTGTTGTAAAATAGATATATATATTTCAAAATGAGATGAGGTCAGAAAAACCACCTCCTTTGTCAAAAAGAAAATGCAATTTCCAGTCACAGAGACCATCGGGTGGTATGTGTTACACGTTAAAGTCACTCTTGTCTGAATGTGCTATTGGTTCACCCAGACAAGCAAAAAATACCCTGTACTCACCCACATACAGCCCATTCTCCACTCGCTTGATGATGTCGAAGGCGTTGTCCACGTTGCCCTCCAGGATGTCAAACTTGACATCGTAACTCCCGAAGTTATAGGACCCGTAGGCTGGCACTGTTGTTCTCAGGAAGACGATCTCTGATGAATTATTCAGGGAGAAGAAGTTAAGACAGTGGGATTGCCGTGCAAAGCCAGTCCCAACTGTTGTTTTTTCTGAATTTAATATTTTTTTAAAGAAATACAATAAAGTGTGTGATGACAGTGCTTGTGTTCGTGATAGTCAGAGAAACCTTAAGGATTTTTAGCACTAGTTCTTTACACTCCAATTCAGGACATATGAGGAATGACAAGAAGTGACACTGAGAACGGTTGTGTCTGAAACACACACTGCATGACAGCCAAAAGATGCTTATCAGCTGTCGCAACCTGCAAATGATTACAGTTGTTACATATGTGGCAGCAGTTCTCTGGGGAAAGCCAGCTAACCCCTTAGCAGTCGGACGTACCGCCCACGGGACATTGGATGGTTTAGGGGACTAATTGGACTGCTAAGGGGCTAAAACTGTCTTCCACTGAGGACTTCATGGAAAAGCTCATTTGGGTGTCAGAGGCACGGATTCTGGCAACTGTACAGAAAGCAGTTGATGGGAGCTCAGAGATTAAAGCAGATAAAATTAAGATAATAATAATAATAATAATAATAATAATAATAATAATAATAATAATAATAATAATAAGAAGAAGAAGAAGAAGAAGAAGAAGAAGAAGAAGAAGAAGAATGACACTGAAAAAAAGATGAGATTTGGAAAGAAAGATAAACATTTTTTAAACTTGGTGATGCTAAAGGAATTCTTCCAGTCCAGAAAAAAAATTATAGTCATGGTAAAAAGAAAAAGCACCTCTGACAGTTTAGTGTATCAAGACATAATATTAATTTTTTTTAAAATCATCTGGTTTAGAATAGGTGTTAAAATCATTCAAGAACAACATGATATGAACAAAAACACTTGACATATTAATCATTATATTCCATAAAAATTAATCCAAAATGCAGAAGCAGTGAAAAACTAAGGAATTAAGAGGGTATACATGTAAGTAGCAGCCACATGCTGTTAAATCAAATGTACTGCATGTGTTGTTGTTCATCTGAGGTTGGATTGAAAGACCTGCTAAGGTCTTTTTTTATTATTATTATGACCGAGGCAACTGTCTATCTGTGTGACATATATGAAACAGGAGAGGAGGAGGGAATGAAAGTCAGTAGAAGTAGAGTACATGTGTGTGAATGAGAGGGAGACAGGTGTAAAAGGGAACAGGCAAGGAGTGGAGATTGTGAAGATAGATTTTAGGTGGAGTTTAAATGCCAATGCACAGTCCAACCCAATGCACAGTGCAGATGAGAGATGAAGAGAAGAGGGGAGGCATGGTGGAGACAAGTGTCAGGGGTAATTTTGTGACAGAAGAATAGCAGCAAAGATGAAAAGAATGGTTTACCAAATGATGTATATTTTGGTGATGGCGACTTTAACAAAAAGACAGGAGGCCAAACCGGATGTGGCAGGGCTGTAAATGCTAATGCGTTGGTAGTGAGCAGGGAGGACAGAATTAGAAATGAGTACATTAGAGAGACAGCTCGGGTTGAGCAGTTTGGAGACAGTTAAGAGGTTTGGACACATGCTGAATGAAAATAATAAGAAGATATGTATATAAAACAGCAGCCAACCGCTTAGCTTCAGAGACCACAAGATATCGGCACATTGAAAACCTTTTTCTTTAAATAGAAAAAAACCCTCTTGTGTTTAGTGCTTTATTTACTGGATTATGTACCTTTTGTGTGACTATTCAAAGAATAGTCGTGTACCTACCCTCAGGCCTTGGTAGTTCTCTGAAAGTAGGCAGGGAAATGAAGGTGTGTGACACTGAGTGCGTGGGGTCCAGAACGCAGGCGATGTTATTGGGCTGACAGGACTTTACACAGCGAACAACTTCAGACCGTTCAAGCCTCGCCGCTCTGAAGAAGTGAACAAACATACTTACCCACCAAAAACAAAACAAAAAATAATTGGAAAAGAAAACATGCACAGCCTCTGACCTTTTAGGTTCTGCTTGCTTAAAGCTAACCACCTTAGAACAAATCAGGGCAGCGCGATGCTGTTGCACAAACACTATTTGAATGAGGCAGAAGGGGCACTGAATGTAGCGCTCGGCACAAGAAAACAATCAAATTCTTCAAATTCTATGTGGTTTGGAAGAATAATAAACCAACAATGGCTAAGGCTCATGCCACAGTCAAACTTTGTAGCTTGTGGAGACTTGTGCTGTCATTGATGTCTTTCTGATCCACTATTTCAAGCTGTGTGGGAAATGAATTACTACATTTACAGAATGATCCACAACCTGCTCAGGAAAATATTTGGATTTGCAGAGCATCCCCGGCTTCACATCAGATAATCTCTTGAGGAGGATTTATGGGGAAAGGGAGTGTTCTAAAAGACTCCTAAATTGTAAGCCACATGACTAGACAACTCCCCAGCCTCTCCCCAGGGCAGCTCTCATCCTATTATTTAGGGCTTTGTTTATTCCACAGACTAATCAGTGACAGGTCGGAGGGATTGGAGTGCCTCTACTGGCTCCTAAAGCTAACGCCACCTGAAACATCACTATTAACTACCTGTCTGCTACATAAGACAGCTTTTTTAGAGAGGTTTCTAAGGCATTAGCAACCCCATAAATCAAGAGTTTGAAAACTTGTGATCATTTGGGAACTTTTGGAACAAAATAAAAGCCTTGATTATGACATTCAAGATGTTAAACTCAAGCTGAGCCTTGCTTGAGTTTAACAAAGGAGGCAAGTCAGTACACGGTTACACTGGGTTATGAAAACATCCATGTTGTCATGTATAAGTCCAGTTAATGTGCATGGCAGCCATATAGCCACACTGTGAGTCATGCCCGTGGATCTCTGGCGCTCCTCGGGGGACCTATCTGCTGCAGCTCAAAGCTCAAGCCCAAGCTTGGGTTGCAGGGCTCCTTTCATGGAGAGCGAGGAGAGAAGCCCCTGACAAAAAGTCAAGCCACCACTGGGTAGGGGCTTGTAATTAGCAATTAGCGGCGGGTCCAGGTTTTGCTCTGCTCTGGGCCAAACCCACAAAATGTTCTCCTAGTTTATAATACCACGGCCTGAGCTGCAGAAAGACCCAAGTGGGGCTCTAGAGGATGAGGTGAAAGCTGTTGGGGTAGAGAGTAAATTTATGAGAAGATAATGACCTAGAGTGAACTGCCCCCCCCACCCTAACCCTTTTACACTCAGATGGGCTCTTCAAAGCAGAGGCATCAGCTCAATGTAATTACAGTTCAGTGTAAAAACAAAAAAAACTTCTATGTCTTCATTTGTGAATATGTGTGCATTTATTTCATGCACACACACTTGGACACACATGAACATATGCGCGCCTTCTCCATGTCCCCATGCCTCACGTGGCCCAGCCCAGGAGAAAAAACCCCAATATTCTCAGACCAGAAAGAAAAACAGACTTTTTTGGATGAAAGTCTTCTGGTCAAGTGTAGGGCCTTTTATTTTTTTGGTAATTATTATTTATAGTCAGCACATTGATAACGCCCCAACACAAACACTGCAGGGCATCATTCATTTTGTGCGCGGTGATGTTGCTGTACCGCAAATTGTTCAGACCACCGGCCAGAGCCCAGAGCCCCATAACTCAATGTCAAAAGGGGAGGAAAAAACTCCTGTACGCCACTAGACTCTTATTTTAAGGCTATCCCCAACAGGGACCAAGTGCATCCTTACTAGCCCAAACGTTCGGGACAGGAGGAACCTGAGAAATCTGCATTTACAGTTATTAAAAGCCACAGCCGCTCAGGCAGCACCCTCACAGCATGTCAAGCTATTTATAATCTCCGCTGGTGCACATTTCCCCTCTCCTTTCCCACTGCATCTCTTCTCATGTCACTTACTCAGCCTTCATTTGGAATTGTCTGTCTGTGTTGGGGTTTGCACCCGCAGTATGCAGTGGAAATCTGTGCAACGGGAGCTAAAGAGATGTGCACGAAAAAAATCACTGGTAATGGTAAGTGACATTTGGGAAGCAGGAGTAACAATGCAAAGTCTGGTGTCAGTCTGGCTTACTGGTATTTGAAGGAGTGGAGTCACTCTAAGTACTTTATATATTACGTGTCGTTAGTGACTGAAGGTTTTGCTGTTTGCGATTTTTAACAGTTTTTTTTAAGCCAATGTTAAAGACAAAAATACAGCCTGGTTTGCACATATATTTGCAGATATAATGCAGGAAACCCTTTAAAAAAAACAAGAAAATTAACTTTAATGGCATCTAATAACATTAATAAATGCTGTTTAGCACTAAAATGTTTAAAATACTAAAACACTTTCTTGCAATTGAAGAACTTTTTTTTTTAATGACAAAACAGAATATACGCAATGTTCTGAAACTACTGGAATAATAGTAATCTGAAACTTTGTGAGGGGAAATCTTCATGCCTCCATCTGTGACTTAGCCTCACATTCCAACTGCTCCCTTTGCTGTATTTGATTAAACCCCACAAAGCACCATTATCAAACACTGGTTTTAACTTGAACATGTGTTATTTCTATTGCAGTTTTAATAGAAAACTGTTCATCCAGCACATAAACCATAAAATACTGCAAAATGTCAGACTTTATCATGCAACCATCATCAAATTACACTCAGTTGTCGGCAGACTTGGGTTGTTACCATTTTGAGAGTTACACTGACCTAGAACGCCACCTACAGTGGCTTCTTTGACAATGCCTCACCTAAAAAGATGCATTCAGTTGGTCCTAATATAAACTCCTGAAGAATAATCCATGTTTTTTTGTTTAAAACAAAAGCTTTATTGTGTGTAATGCTATACAACTACAAATTGTGATTGTTTTTCCTTCTGATTAATGTATTTTACAGTGTCATTAAAAAAATAATGTGCCATGTTTAATGTGCATTTATTAGGAGACAGAGTAGTATTTGAGTTCATTCATTTAAAAAACTGGAGTAGAAAAAAGCCTCAATAGCAGACAAGATAAAGGGGACAGCGGTACCATAGTTTTGGACCAGCAGTAGCCCTGAAAGGCCTGCACTTGCCAGAAACTCATGAAAATTAGAATTATATTTTTACCTGTACATGCTCTAACTATACTTAACTTGTGTAATCATTAATATATAGCAGGCTATATTGCATCACCATCCTTTACTCTTGCATGCATTTTGCAATTTTTCTGATTTCTTAGTGAGATTAAGTTAATATGCCACATCCATTTTAAGGGGGTAAAAACTTGTGCAAACCTATGAATCCCTTTTGTTTATTCTAGTAGGGGATTATAAGGTACTCTGGGCTCCTCCTGGGTAACAAACACCAGCACTTTAGCCAGGTATGTAGTGATTGTGCCATAGCGGCGCAGCCTCAGTTCCAGAGACAGCTCAAAGTCCTCTGGCTTGTTGATGAGCTTTGCCACTGACATCACACCACCAGCGGGCATCTGCTCAGTTCTGAAGAAGCCGCCCTCGTTGCCAGCTGTGATAGCAATCTGGATGTCATCGCCAGGCACGGTGTGGGAGGGGCCCATGCGGAAGATGGTGGTGAAGATGGGGATGTTGGTGGGGAAGGTGAGGTAGTAGTAGGTTATTCTCAGGGGCATGGTCAGGCACTGGACAGACTCATTGCAAAGCAAGCGTTCGCATCGACTGCAAAAGAAAAAAAAGAGATCGGAGGCAGGACGGGACAAGACGGAACAAAACGGGCAAAAAGAGAGAAAGAGAAAGGGAGATCAGGTGAAAATTTCATTTGCCGTGCATGGCATGCAGAGAAAGGAATTATCACTTTCAGTTATAGTGCCCTCTTTAGGATCATGCAAAACGTTCTGTCACTGGGTGCCTCCAAACAAGGGTGTGGGTGTACACATTGTCATCGTCATGTGCGCCAAAATTAAACTGAAAAACACCCATGTGCATGTCATCACTCGGAAACAGCAAAACATGCTACAGCCAGATTCATACTGAAATCATTCCAGCATTGAGCATACTGGACATGCAGGGGCTCTGATCCATATACAAACCAGGAGTGCTTTAAAAAGCCTGATATGTAAACTTAAAGCTCTTTAGATGGTGACTGTTTCAAATTTAACTATATGGAGCACAGACCGTTTCTTTGAGTGTTGCATGAAACTATGTAACAAAACAGAAAATTTCCTGGCAATTGGTAATTTTCTGCCTTTTTTTCTTTTCTTTTTTTTTAATGGTGATGGTCCATAAATAGTAATTGATAAATGCTAAAATTAAATATGTGGTTAAAAAAAAAATACATGAAAAAAATGAAATCTACTGTATTTTTACGAATTTGTCATAATGTGTAATAGGGGTAAACTCATTCAATTTAATTCTGTCGTAACACAGAGAGCACAATCATAGTTATGCCTGTTCATAAACATGTCCCTGCTCAGCAAAGAATCTGCACCAGGGACACAGTTCAAATACTCACGTCTCTCCGACCCGTCTGTAATTGTTCGGACACTCGAAAGACAGGCATCTGAATCCTCCCTGTACATTGAAGCAGCTTTGATTCTCTGTGCACGTATGGCTTCCTGTCACACATTCATCAATATCTGAAAGACAAAAAAGGGTCTTAAAAGTCACTAACATGATTTTTTTTCCAAAGCTGGGGAAAAAGGGTCTCCAACAAACGCCACATGACTGCAACATGACATTACAGAGAGCTCACCCTGGCAGCTGCGCCCGTTTACCGCCAAGGTGTAGCCATTGACGGGGCAGGAACAGTGGAAACTGCCAGGCGTGTTGTGACAGCGGTAGGAGCAAATGTGACCTCCGGTGGGCAGGGCACATTCATCTATATCTGGAAACGTCAAAGAAAAAGGTGAATTTGTAACACATTCATTTTATTTATATACACATAATAAGGATGGCCAACCACCATTAATGTCTGATCCATATGTGCCACACATTAGCGTTCTCACATACGTCTCTGTCAGGTCATGTCTAGAAAAATTCAAGGCTGATCTGCATGTTTGAATATTCCTATTTGTGGAAATTCGGCTAATACCCCCAACTCGTCACAGCAGATGGCCGCCCTGGGTTCTGGCAGATGTTTCTTCCTGTTAAAAGGGAGTTTTTCCTTCTCACCATTGCCAAGTGCTTGCTAATAGGAGGTCATCTGATTATAAGGCTTTTTTCTGTTTTTTTCTGCTATCCTTCTTTTATTGTAGGGTCTTTACCTTACAATGTGCCTCGAGGTTGTGATTTGGTGCTATACAATAAAATGTCAACTGAATTAAACTGAGTATCAGTTGCAGTTCACATGCTTCAACTTTACCTTCACAAGTAGTGCCATCTAGGTCACTAAGCTGGTAGCCACGGCGGCAGTAACACTGGTAGGAACCGTACACATTGGCGCACTCTTGACTACATGGGGTGCTCTCACACTCGTTCAAATCTGCACAGAGAGAATCAAAGTTAGCATCAAATTATGCGTGCATGTGTCTGTAATGCAATATTTACCTATTTATGGCTAAAGAACAAGTAACTATGAAAGCTACCTAAAAAATATGACTCCTAGATTGATGACTGGTAAAATGCTACGTAGGCTGAAGATATACAGCAACATATTTCTTGAGTTAGACTTGATTACATGTTATACACTTTGGCATAAGCTGGAGAACTATGACAACACTAGAGACAAAGATAGGAAAATATTACTATCTTCTCTCAGCTGTAGCTTTAATCAAAACCAAAAGTGTACCCCAGTGTACACAGGGGTATCTAGGTGTATCTGTTATCTCTTTGTTGGTCTTGTTCCAGCATTACCATAATAATGTTGGTCCAGGATCAACATTGCAACTGAATGCTTCCCTGATCCTGGACCAGTATTATTATGATACAGGAAAAACATTAACACTGGGATGTCAGATCATGCAGGATTTCTATTGTGTAAGTCAGAGGGGAGACATGTTATTGACTGTCCCTTATACTATATGGCACCTTTCCTCTTTAACAAAAAAATAAAAATCTAACATTCAGACCAACACTCCGTTAGATGCATCGGGGGCAAAAACGCATTTAGGAATGCATGGGGAGCAGGAGATTGATCCACAAAGATTCTGATTACCAGATCCACATCTGCCCACATAAACTCTGTCTAGTCAACAGTATCTAGGCTCTATAAAGTCTCCCAAATTACTTGATTGTCTTACCATCACAATTTCTGCCGTCAGCAGCTAACGCGAAGCCTGTAGTGCAGCTACATTTGTAGGATCCCAAAGTGTTCTCACACTTATGAGCACACAGACGACCAGGGTAATGCCTGCATTCATTGACATCTAAGACAAAAAGTCCAAAACTGACAAAGTAAGAAGCTGAAATTGTGACTTCAATGCTTATTTTAACTAGAAGTAGTACACACACATACATGCTGTGGGCATTTACATGCTCAGGATACACTTGGATTTAGCTACCAACGTAAGAACGCAAAGCAAAAGAAAAAGAAAAACAGTTTACCTTCACAAAGCCGAGTGATGCTATTGAACATGTAGCCAGCTTCACACTCACATCGGTAAGACCCCAACATGTTGAGGCACGCATGACCTCCACAGACGTTTTCAGTAGTCTTACACTCATCGATATCTGTAAGCAGGGGTGCAAGCGACAGAGAACACCATGATATCCACCGCAGGTAGGCTAGTAAGACACTTTGCATGTAGGTATGATGAGCTCTTCCGTACCAACGCAGCGTGTGCCCTCTTCATTGAGGTGGTATCCTCGACCGCAGTTAACCGAGTTCCTCTGGCAGGTGTACGAGCCCACTGTGTTGACACAGATCTGCCCCCTGTTGCATGGACCTGTCTGGCTAACACATTCATTTATATCTGAAAACAGGAGCACAGATGACACAGATGTTACTCTAAATTTTAAAAATGTCCTGATGTTCCACAGTTTCTGTTATATTTTTTTCTTATCATGTCTTATATTGTTACATGATCAATTCCTTCTTTTTGTGACCCGTTTATCTGTCTTAGTTTCCTTGACTTGTCTTCTTTTTCAGTTCCTATTTTAATCGGATCATTTCTATTCCTTGTGTGTGTGTCATTCCTTTCAGCTGTTTGTCTTCTCGTGTAATGAGGCCCTGATTGCCTTGATTTAACCTGGTCTTGTTTCCTAATTAGTCCTCTGTCTATAATTTGGCTCCTCTCAATCAATGTAATGATGGCAGTGATTAACCTTACACCAGGTAATTTATTGCATGATGAGCTAAAAACATTTTTTTTTTATTTAAGTCAATAAAATAAATAATTGATAAATCAAATTTGACCATAATGATGAGGACAGGTTTGAGTTTAATAGCAAGCCCCAAAAAGACCTAAGTCTAACTACATAGCTGGAAATTTAACTGACTTAAGGCTTCAAGAACAGAAGTCTTAATGATGTTAATTTATTAAAGAGCATATGCCAGTCATCATATTGTTAAATATTTTGAAATTGACATTAATATGAGGACATTTTGAGGGAAGCAATTTAAGAATCTCAATATCTTTACAAGTGCTCAAGTAAAGATCATAAATGGCAGCAGAGCTCTGTATGGGACGCTTGGCCACAATAAATCTTTTGGTGCTAATGCTTACCAATACAGTTTCCAAGAGCATCCTGGATAAAGCCAGATCCACACTGAACTTTGGGCAGACAACGGAACGACCCCTGGGTGTTTTGGCATTGAAACTGCGGTCCACAGTTATGGATACCGGTCTCACACTCATCAATATCTGGATGAAGACATCACAGAAGAATTGCCTGTCAACACGCTATGAATAGCAGCCAAAAAAAAATACAGCAGATCAATGTCTCCCTACAAACAGCAGAGACCTTTGCAGTTGTTGCTGTCAGTGAGCTCATATCCTGTTCCACAGCTGACTTCTCTCTGGCAACGGAACGAGCCCTCCGTGTTGATGCAACGCTCTCCTCCCCGACAGTTGCTGGCTCCCACCAAACACTCGTTGATGTCTGCGAAAAAACAGGATAGACAGTAAAGGAATACATCACATGTCTCCTTCTGAGGCTCTGTTGTGTTAGTCTTTTCTAGTAGAAAAGTATTTTCTTTATCACCAAAAACAGTCCTGATATTAAAATATAAGACTGAAATCATTACATATATATAACAATACAAAAGGAGCTTACCCTCACAGCTCTTTCCATCTGGTTTGAGTTTATAGCCTTTGAAACAGGCACAAGTGTCATTCCCCACACAGCGATGAGCACACTTCCCTGAGAGGCACCACAGAAACATTAATATCTGATTCGCGCTTTTTAACGCAAGTGCAGGAATCACAATTGTTAGCTTTTATTGTGCTTTACCATTGCACTGATTATTTAATGCTGAATCTCCATTTTCAGTTGTCTCGTCCTTGTTAGGCACTGCAAGAGAGAGAAAAAAGCATGCTTATTCATGCTTTCATACCTTATGCATGAAATCATTTGGCACAACATTGTGTTACTAGTGAACTTCTGACTTTGATGGTCATTAAATTCCTTATTTTATCCAGTCCAAAAGCTCATAATCAGCATGCTGAATCTTACCCATTTCCACATTAATGCTCAGTAGCTGAACCTAAGCTGCTTTCTATTATGAGCTAAGAAAATGAGCATGCGATGACCATAAGCGTCCATTAGGGGGCGGTGTAGTCTTATGTTCGACACCAGTACTCCTATGTCTACTTCTAACTATTTTGTTGACTTGCATAGGTTTTCACTTACTTTAATCCACTTTTTTATGGCCACTCTACTTTAAATTACATATTTTGTTCGTTTTATTAAAAAAAAAAAACAATAAAAGAAACTGCCCCTTGCAGGATCACATTTTTTACCCACGTTCTCTCTGATGCGCTGTGGCTCCTTCCACACAGCAGGCCCGGGACACCAGATTGCACTGATGGCCAACAGATAGGTTGTGGTCACAGGATAGGCCAAGCTCATGGGCTGTTTTACCCAGAGTACAACAGTCACAGCACATCTATCGAAAACAGCATACAACACAGTATTAGAGAACTTAGAAGGATAGACATGAAAAATGTGCAAATAATTGAAGGAAAACAAAATACAGATCTTTTCAGGATATTGTGTACCAGCAGAGGTAAAACAAAAACAAAGAATAGCTGACAGAGGGTTGGTATGCTGGTTGGTTAAAGAAGTGAGACAGCCTTTTAAAGTGACAGCTGAGAATAAGTTGCTTTAGACAGACAGCCAAGCTCTCAATCAACCAGACAGACAGAAAAAGAGCTTTTTTGAGACGATACGCCAACTGGCAGGCTTCAGACGGGACCAGAAAGGCAGTCAGTCAGTTAGAAAAAGAGAACACAGAGGGAGACAGTGATGAGATGACATCAACCCCCCTCTCCTTAATGCATGCTCAGTCAATCATTATGACAGCCCGGTAATGTCAGTTATGGACAAGAAAGGTGGGGAGTGTGACAGATGGGCATGTTTTGGCAATTTGGTTATGCAGATGGAATCTGACTGTGTGTGCGGTGGTGCACACGTGCAGCGTTTGTAGCGACTGCAAGACTGAACACATGCCAAGGAGAGCAACTGTAAGAGTTGTGTACCAGTAGTGGCTGACTGCTACTCTCTGTGTTTGTTTGTGTGTGCTTGTTTATGTGTGGGTATATGCCTGTGTGGCCTTGACTGCTAGAAAACGTTTTGTTCTTAGGACTCTTTTAGTGTAAACCACTCACAACAAGCACACAAACACACTCCTGAACAGTTCGCACACACAACTGCTTTATATCTTGTTTTTGTGCAGCTTTTTCTTGCTTCTCCCATGCTTGCTTAGAGTAAGTGGCCTTTTTATTAGTTTCATATGTGAAACATCAATACAGCATTCTACTATCATCGCTGCAAATCTTACAAAACACAATAATGCAGTTTCTAAATTGAAAACATAAACCTTATCCAGACAGCACATTGAAGCAAATCCCCTTTTCTTCTCTCTGACTGCTTAGAGAAAGTACAACATTATTTTCACAGATATTGTCATTATTTATCATTTAAACGTACATTTTGTTCTGTCCATCTCGCATCGTCGTGCTTTTTCCTTGAGAACACACAGATTATTTGAAGAAGTTCGGAGTTATTGAATAAGCCACCCACAGTCCTGATTTCTTTCTTGTCAATCTGACGTCCTCCATATCAAGTAAATGATTTTTGTGGAGTGTTTGTGGAGTTTTGCACATTTGAGACATATTTTCACACTATGTAAGCACCTAGAGATTTTAAGCATATTTGAAAATGTGCATATTTTTCTCAAGCTTCTCGTGTTCCTTCTTCCTGATGTTGGGAAGGTCCACAGCTGTCTTTCTCTTCGTGTCCACGGCTACTATGTCCGGTCGGTTAGTCATCACCAGTTTGTCAATGCATTTCTCAATCATCCTTGGGGACGTGACCTATTTTGACCTCGGGACTTCCAGGCCATAATCGGCAGAGATATTCCTGTATACTATGCCAGCCACTTGGTTCATTTGTGCTGCCAGATGCTCATAGAGTTACAGTTATTTTCTTTAGCCCATAAGTGTGACTCATGTCAGGGCCAGGTACTGTCTAACGCTTCATGCTTGAGACTCTTTCTTGGATGTCTGCCGCTGTGATGGTTACTGGATCCTGTTCAGGGAAGTTGCTGTGGTCTTCTCTTAGCTCCACTAGCCACTGAGCATTGTTGTTATGTGTTGCAACCCCATGGTGGTGTTATTCTCATATTGTTTTCGCGCTACTAAAGATGCTCCAGATTTTAAGCATTTAAATTTCACAAAAAGGGTGTGACAGGAGAAACTTTGTAAAACAACTTGAAAGCACTGTAGAGAAAATTCTTTTTGTAAGTGCATCATCATAGCATGCTGGCAGGCATGCCAGCAGCAGCAGCAGAGAGAGGAACACAGAGCAGCTGATGTTTGCCAGCATAGAAGAGGTTCTGGTAAATATGGAAAGTAATCAGCTCGTTTTCCCTCATCAGAGCTACGCTGCTAATTTTATTTTAAAGCATATTTGTAGCATGCGGTGGCTGTGTGGGGCTACAACACCTTTAAAAGCTTCTATGCAGTATATAGTAGATCACAACTAAACTGTTAAAGGATAGAAATTCTAGACCAATTTCTTTATTAAGTAATTTATCAAAATACTTCTGAAAGACATAAAACCAGTTAAAGGGAACTAATGAAGGTGAGAAAAACGAACACATTTAAATCTGTAATCAAAGATGGAAGCAGAACTTACACAAGCCTAGTTTTGTGTAAAAGTACAAATTTTCATGCTAGTTATAAAGCTCACTAATAATGAGGTTATATTGGATTGTAACCCCATTAAATGACTATTTATTTCAATTTAAAACAAATGGGAACATTTCTCTATAATGTTGATGTTTGGTGCAATTTGGTGCCTAATCATCTTCACTGTTTTGGTCCTTTTGTCCTTTTGTTTCTAAAGGTTGACTTTAGTGGTGGTTTTGATTTTCCTGAAGGAGACACCCTCATTACTCATCGAGTTACACCACTGACCAGCCAGTCGGTGGCATACAGTCTGTTGATGACACATTTTTGGATTGCTCAGATCGCTTGGATCCCCAGAGGAATCGCTACTAAAAAAGTCCTGGTACCAGGTACTTCCATCTAATGGAAAACCCTGCAAACCGTGGCGTGCCAACCTGAGTAGCTACTAATGGAAAAGGGACTTAAAATTACAAGAAAGTCTGGCTTCTTGAAAGCAAAACATAAGGAAACCAAGGGTGATTCAAGATTTTTTGCCAAAAACACTGTATATACTGTGTATATGGTACATATAGAATGAAAATAAAGGCAAGAATTTGCCTGAGTTTGGTTAAGAAGCATTTCAAATCTGAAAGGTGCTTAGTGCTTGGATATGGGCTGGTGAAATATTCCACAGTCACAGTTTAATTTATAATCTAGCAACAAGTTTCATTCCTCCCTACAGTGACATGCCTCATCCTGCTGCACAACACACACACACTCCCACACACACCCACACACATAGAGATGTACAACACTGCTCTCATCAATCACTTGCAATAATCATCGTCCAACAAAGTGGTGAAAGAAGTTTTTTGGTGATTTACTTTTCTGTTTTGTCATTTCTATTAGCAAAACACTCATATACACTCATACAAACACACCTTTGTAGTCTTGGTGTCGCAGGTGTTGGTGAATAAAGAATCGCAGGCCCCCTGGTCTTTGGCAATGTTGATACCATTGGTGCACATTTTATCCTCGAGCACTGTTACACAGCACTGCTCCTGCACTATCCTGTCAGCAAGAAAAAACACAAAACACAGGTGGTGCATTTACTCTCCGCTCTATCAATAATTGGCTTACGGCAAAGCAAATCTGTCTTAGAAGTGCAGCTCATTAAAATCGGCCCGAGGCGAGCCTAAAGGGGATCTCATGTCACACTGAAAACTGACGAATGACTGGGCTGAGTAAGTCTAGAATGAGCTCAGCGATGGACATTGTGTTTGCAATGCTGACAGCTCTCTGAGGTCTGTTCAGATTGTTTAACACCCAAGAAGTTAAACCAAAGATTTCAGTCCCAAGCTGCACATTTGTCCAAAAAATATCTCCATATTCTTTTGCAGAGCAAAATCACTAAAACAAACCTCATCCTACATTCACACCCTATAAAAACAACAAACAAAAAAAGCAGAACAGCAGGGGCCCTAATCGGCTGACTAACATTTGCCAGTATCTGTAGTTTACTTGCAGCCACAATGACATCACCGGGACAGAATCAGTCTGCATTTCTTAAGAATTTGGTGACACAGTTAGGATTTGAGAAATAGCCATAACCATAAAATGAGTAACATCTTGATACAGGATGTATCGTAATTTACCTTCACCTCTGAGATCCCCTTAGGGATTAGCATAACACAAATTTTCTGCAAGAATCATTTAAAAAATGACAATAGCTGTTTAATTGGGAAAAGCAGTACTGGGAAGCAGCCAGCCCAATCTGACAAAAGAGTGCTATCATAAAAATATGTTTTACTTAATGTTTCTGTTCAGATCAGATTTCGTTGTATTGTCTAACTGTCTGCCCAATCAGTTAAGGGAGCGGAGGGGAGGTTGACTGTTCCTCCCTGGTCTGGATCTCTGTCTCCCTGCAGTTTTACAAGACAAAAAAACATAACAAACCAAGTTTTTTTTTATCATCTCTTACCAGAAACCTCTTTCCACATAAACCACTCGAGATCCGAAAGTCACAACAAAGTACACGCCTCCTCTGCAGAACCTTTTAAGGGCACAGTAGCGTGCTCCTGTTTTCCTTTTACCATTTTTCTCCTGTTTTTTTTTTCTTTCTTCTTACGTTGGTGTCTGAAGTAATCTCTCAGATTTCCTGTTATTCCCTCCCTCTATGTCGGATTTCACCTCTAAGGTATTTCCTGGGTTTTGTAACAGCCCCTCTTCTGACCCCCCTCACCTTTTTCCACCCCTAAATATTACCCTGCTACCCCCACAAATCCCTGCCCCTTTTCCTCTCCACTCCTCACACTATAATTTAGACAAATTTGGAATCGCTTACAGTGGCTATGGCAAATGTGTTTGCCATCAGTTTGGCTTATAGGCCCTGAACCTGTGGTAGCACACCTTCTATGGTTACCAGCAGACATGTTATTATCCCATCACTATTAGCGCTTCCTGCTCTCACGTGAAGTGAATAATGTGCCTAGAGATTTATGGGAGTAAGGTAAAGTGATCTCATATTAAGGGCATTTAGACGTTTCCTTAATATCCAGCACATGCCAAATCACTTGGGCCCAGTACCATGGATAGAAAATGTGATTTTAAGAAATGCAGCATTTAACAGCTTGGAAGTCTTTAAACTACCACACTTAAACATAACAGAGGAAGGTAGCAGTCAGCAGCGGCTTACCTGCATGTGGTTGACTCAGAGATAAGGGGCAGGGATGCACAGTCTTCATGATCGGTGCCATGCTTTTGCCCATTTTTACAGCAGTCCTCCATTGAGATTTGTTCTGCTCCTATTAAAAACAACATTGTTTTTACCTTTGCATGTACAAACAGGTGAATCACAACAGGCCCCACATTATAGTGCTGGCCACCTGCCTGCCTACACACACACACACACACACACACACATCAAGTGCCTAAACACACTGTGCCTCAAATATATATCAGATGGCAAACTTCTGAGCATCATTTGAGGGGAATGAGCAACATTTATCCGATGAGCATTTGTCTTTCAGCAAGACCAAACAGTTTTTATTAATTGAGCAATGATGATCTGTTTTTTTTGTCTCTCTTTCCTAAACAAAAGACAATCCTGCTATTGTGACCCAAGACAAATTGTATAGCAAATAAACAAAATTCAGAGTCTGTTTAACGATATGAAAAAAAGCCTTGAGAGATTTTTTTGTTTGTTTTTTGCCAAAGACAATGAATGATGGATATGTTTTTGCAGAACCACATGAGGCCTTTTGACTGGAGCGCGACCAACTCTGTGGTAATCTGGCTGTTTATTCATGTGGATTAGAGAGTTTGGAATGCTTCGACTCTCTAAACAATCAGCCGTAACAATCACATCAAGCACGTTCGTTTGCCTGTGGTTAGTGTGTTATATGCCAAACGTGAAATAGCTTTGGCAGATCCACGTCTTGGGCTATTTTTCCAGTTTTTTTGTTGCCTGTGTCTCAAACCAAGATCGGTCTACAAAATTGACATTAATCATCGTTATTTCCCCCCTGAGAGGAAAAAGAGAAAACAAATATTGAATTATCCAGAATAGTGATTGTGAAATACCTCAAACAGAACCATCTGCGTCTAGCAGGAGTAAGCAAGATCAGATAATAAGTTAGATTAGGCAGGTAGGGAGGGAGGACAAGTGTCTGGAATTGCAGTCCACAGTTTTATAGATTTGCTGCCCTCTCCCAGAGGTGCAGGAGGAATGTTTTATTATGACCATTAAATCAAACTAGTCAAGCTGAGGCGAAAGCGGGAATAGTTGTTATCACAAACAGTCTGCACACTGGTAAACCTCGTGGAAACACAACGCAAGAGCTGCTGTAAAACTTCATTTCTCAGGTTCATCACAAGTTTCTATAAGTCCCTCTTAAAATCTAGAACTAATATGAGGAGAAGCATAACAATGACACAAGAAAGAGTTCTTTAAAAAATGACACGTTTTGATTGTTGTCTGTTTCTTTAAGAAAGTAAGCGAGGTTACAGGAAAAAACAACTGTGCCCATTCCTACTACAGAAAGGAGGTTTAACCTGGCAGAAAGGAGCGAATATGGATATAGGATTTATTGGTAGACAGGCACATTAGCTGACTCACTACTGACTTCTGGAAGTCTGGCACATCACAGTATTCTCTGGCCAATAAACCTTGTAGCAGCTGGATGAAATGAGATGACATTTTAAAAGCTTTTCACATGGACCTACCAAGCAGGCTCCCCCAGCCTCTCTCTCTCTCTGTCTCTGTCTCTCGCTCACTGACTTAATTTGTTTTCTGAATGTGTAAGTAACAACGGGGTTTTCCAAAAAAGCTAGGAAAGCAAAACTGTGCTCACAAATATGGATGTTTATTAACAATAAAGAATCCTATTTAAATGTGTGTACCCCTGTGCATATGTGTAATGTTTTGGGGTTTTTTACCACTTCCAGTAACTGACACCATCTTGTCAAAACACATGATTTGTATTAGAACTGGAAAGGCATCCAAGAGGTGTCCAGAGTCCAAAAAAATGAACTAATCCTAAACTCTTTCTTAGCTTAGTCAGTGCATTTTAAATGCCAGGAACAGTTGGTCACTTATTCTAAACTTCCCCCAGCGATCTGTTCTGGACTTTTCCCCTCACAGTAGCGTTCTGCTGATAACTAACTCTAACCCACTAGGCATCACTGACTCATTCCTTTGCTACCGCTGTCTGCTGACTTGAAAACCTAAGATTGAAAGACCAGAAGTGCTTTAAAACTGCATGGCTTCTTGTCTTTTATCAAAAAAGAAGAAGAAGAAGAAGCAAACCAGGCACAGCTGTGCTCTGGTTTAGATACAGCCTGCCATAATTCTCAGTCTCCTCGGTGCATTGTCTGTCTGGAGAGGGCTAATTTCCATTTTGGATGATGTTGTAGCTGTGAGGGCCATTCTGTCTTGGCAGAGCAGCACATGTCTTGTCTGCGTCTAGACGCCTCATGTAAACAAGGCATAATGAGCATAATGAGCCTACTCGTGGAGCCCCGCCTACACAGAGGTGCTGGCCTCAGACAGACATCACAACATAGAAGTGTGCATCTCTTTCATAGGCACCACTCAAAGCTTACATGTGGAAGCTTCTTCCAATCTTGATATATACAAAAGGCTGAAACCAAAGTCGAGCTTATCTATCTGGAATGCATTTGGTTATGCAGTTGGTTGAGCTGATACCCAGCAGATCTGCAGAAAGACCTGCAACACAACCTCCTACAGAGAAGGCAGCTGAGAGAAAGGTCCCCCTGCTGACTGTGAAATTGCCCCGTGTGTGACCACAGCACAGTGGGCTTTTTAAGACACGGCTAGTCTTATGATTTGGTGACCCTGCTGTGAGGCTCAATCTCACCCTTCTGTCTAGGACCGCCCTGCCCTGGTGAGATACTGGTTGCTCTTACATAGCATCACAGCATACCAGCACTCGGCCTTTGACTTTCAGGGCAGAGAGTGAAGAAACCTCAGGCAGGGATGACTTTTGCTTCACAACTGGTGTGAAACTACATTTTAACACTCTCCATGTGGGGTAACATATCATCACTTCATGGAATGGAGTGATTCCACTCCACAGTGTAACTAAATAAAACACAGTAGTGAGAGAGTTAAAGGTAGAAAAGGTTAACTGTAAAGTTCTATAGTTGTGGGTTTTGTTGATGCAGTGCACAAAAAGTTGGAAAATGGTTTAGATGGCACTTTATATGGTCACAGTGCTACTTATTGTACATTGTAAGTGGTAATAAAAAAAGAAAGAGGTGTGGGATTATAATATTATTTTATGCCATGTTAGACCCCTAATTAAAGTTTGTGAATTATTATGTAGTTTTAGTTTGCATTATTCTCCTGAATTAGAAGAAGGTGGTAACTATTGCATTTGTTAAACTGATTTGCATTACATTAGACTGCTGATTTATTGTGAATGAATGACATTGTTTTATGATGCATTATACTGCTGAGTTATAAGAAATACTGTTCGCAGAAAGTCATCGCCTTATTTGTCTGATTAGAAGAGAACAGAACATACTGGAGTTTTCTGCCCCATCTCAGCAGGAGCAGATAAACAGGGAGCCAAGGTCGTAGCTTAGGCGCTGTGTGAGAGAAAGCATGTGGATGTTTAGGCTTTTATGAATAGGTGGGGGCCACTAGAGGCTATAAGAGGTTGATCAATGCTCCACCATTTTGAGATCGGATGCTGTCTGCGTACGGTGTCCATCTCCCACGCGTGTGATCATTAAAATCATCGTTTGACTCAACCTGGCCGGACCAGTGTTGTTATTGTGGTTTTTCCTCTTGTATCCATCCCCAATATTTGAATCCGTAACAGAGGAAAAACAATGATTCTAAACAATAGTTTCAATCTTTTAATTTGAGATGTTCGAGCCTTAGCAATTTTAATAAAGACCTGCAACACTTTGAAGCACCCACCTTTGCAAACTTTGCTTTCATCACATGCCCCAACTAGCCCCCAGACAAATGCATCACTTCCCCAAGTATCACCCTTTAGCCTGTTATCTGTCTGCTTCTTACTTTGAGTACTTTAAAGTGAAGCTGTCATGCAATATGCGCTATTCATCCAAATCACTGTCACATGCACAGTCCCACTGCTTGGCTCACCTAGCAGCAGTGATACCCAGCTTCTCACGCTTACCTTGGCCAAGAAGAACTCCGAACAGAGAGAAGAGCAGCGCTACGCGCAAAGCCATTGACAGAGGTGAGACTCAAAGTATCAAAAACTGGAGAGAAACAGACGTGGACGAGGTGGACTTTCCGATGCTGGTTGTTCCGCGGGGATGTGTGAAAAAGCTGCAGTGCTCCTTAAAAAAAGATGAAGAAGAAGCAGCTAGACTGGGAAAAGAAGTGGATTTGATGGAGCTGAGAGTCGCAGTTGCAGCTTGACTGAAGGAATGAGCCTCTAATTACGGCACCGCGAGGGGCGGGCTGAGGGCCACAGGCGCACACTTACTGCTTATCTTGTTTGTGTGGCTTATTTCAAACCACATCGCAGTTAGAGTTTATGATTACAATATATAATTTACAGATAGTATATTTTAGCGAGTGTACAAAAGAGCTGTCGTTTTAAAATACCTCCTATTGCAGATCCTTTGTTGTTGTTGTTGTTGTTGTTAAGTGTCCTGAAGCAACATCTGAAAAACTGCCTCTGGAGATGGGACTCGCAGTCATCTCCGGGCTACTGTACCGTGAAGTGTGCGCTCACACATGGAAACTGCACTTCCATCAATGGCAGAGCAGAGTATTTCTGCCTGTGACTAATGACTGTAGTGATTACCCAACATCTGGAGCTGGTTTGGGGGTATTTTAAAAATGTGTTGTGGCTATGTCCAGACTGTAAGCCTTGAAACCTTTTGGATTCCTCTGAGGAAATAAGGGGAATAAAAAATAAATAAATATTTTCACTACCACTAACTGCTGTTATTCGCTGTTATTTCTGAGTTTGGTGCACTTACAGAGACCTAAGACCTGGCTCTGTGACACCCCCGCCTCCCAACCCATCCCACCCTTAATATTGTATCTTCACAGCAGTGTCACAGGTCCCTGCAGTCCTACTATAAAGCTTAATTTTCTATAGTAATGTGAATGAATTCAATCTTCCCTAAGTGTGCCACATGTGTGCAATCAACATCAGTCAAAGTGCTCACGAGCTGTGAAAAGTGGCTACATATAAACAAGCCACAGACGCATGCACTCACACACGTCTACCAGAACTTGCAAGAAGTGGAGAAATAATTGATATAGTGCTTTATAAACATTTTGTACCAACTAAGACCCTCTGCAAATTCAATCAGTCTACTGGCTCTGGGCATTGTGACAGAGAGAGATTAAATGATCTTCTAATCAAAGCCATATGGCTCCACCACCACCAGTCTAACCAACAAGAAACACCACCAAGGGCTTGATATAAGGACACCACAGGCATATAAAAAAGGCCACAGGTATATGACTGTCATAAAAGGATAACTGCCCTTTTAAATGTGTAGTGCTTGATGATCCGTGTCTTGATCTCTTTGTGCTTCCGTCCACTACAGTGTGTATTTTCTGCTAGTACTCTGACAATCTCTCTGTAAAAGTACATTTTAATACAGCACACTGGTGTTCTGAATGTTGTAGCTCATTTAATAGAATAAACAAATTGCAAATTCTTGGCAGTTCTCTTTCATTTCACTATACCACACCAGTTTTACAGAGGTGGGTAACTGGGGTAAGTTGTTAGGATGAAAATCCACAGCTTCCTTTCTCAGTATATGTATCAAATTGCAATATTTCTAATATAATATTTTTGAAAATGGGCTTTATATTATAAACAAGCTTCGGGGGAAATTGTTTGAGCAGGTAATCCATCACAGAAAGGTTTTGTCTCTTTTTTATTTCCTCCTTTTTCACTTCACCTGCATGGGAAATGGGAAATACTTTTGAATCAACCTGCACTTGGACACTACAGTACAGCAATTAGACCTTGCCACAAGTAAAAGCAGACACGGTGGGGTGGCTTTTGTAATGGATTGCCAAATCATTTGGCAAAATAAGCAAAGTCTAGTATCAGCAAGACAGGAAAAAAAGTTGCTATAAATCCTAAACGGTGTTATCAAAAAGTATTTGGCCCCTTCCTGATTTCTTTGTGTTACTTTCTCACAGAAACAGAAACGTCCACGACGCAGGACTTTGTTGTGTTCTCAACCTGTGGGTTAAGCCTCTACTAGCAGTGCATATGTAGTTCTTGGAGACCTCTATGAGCCAAGGATCTAGGGGGGTTATCACAATAACAAAGGCAATTACTTTTTCACACAGTCAGGTATGTTTGGATAGATTTTTTTTTACCTTAATAAAGTTACTTATTATTTCAAAATTGCATTTTTTTTCTTTCTCATAGTTACCACTGTTGCTTCACTCAAGGACATGAGTTTAACTCCACCATCTGGCCTTTCAGTGTGGAGTTTGCATGTTCTCCCCATGTTTGCATGGGTTGTCTCTGGGTACTCCGCCTTCCTCCTCCTCGCCAAAGACATGCAGTTAGTGAGTTTGGGTTAATTGGTGATTCCAAATTGCAGTGACAGAAAACCATTCATACTCACATTCACACAATGTGAGTATGAATGGTTTTCTGTCTCTGTGTCAGACTGTTGACCTGTTCAGGGTGTACCCCCACCTCTTGCCCTATGGCAATTAGGAAAGGCTCCAGCGCCCCCCAGCAGCATTTGGTTTTTACTCTTATTTTCATCTATTGTTAAAATGTGTTTGATGATCTGAAACATGTAACAAATATGCAAAACAAAAAAAGGAAAGGGGGGGGGGTGCTCTGTGTGCTGTACCTTTGGGTTAAGACTGTAGTACTACTATAGTAAAGCATATGTAGTTCCTGGAGTCCTCTATCAGCTGAAGACGTAGCAACCCCTTCTTAGAATTATCACAACAAAGGGCAAGTCTTTACTGCTGACCAATCCTAATCTTATCTAATAAGAGATAATATGCCATAAAAGGAATGAAGAATGTCCAACATGAAAGCCAGGACCCTGCCATGCTTCCAGTCCAGCTGGCTGGAGAACAGTCAGAGGGCAACTTCCCATGCCTTTCAGTCCACCAAAAACAACTAAGCCTCATTCCTTCGCTCCACCTCAAATCTACATTTGGGTTTTAACAAGTAAACGCAGCATGAGCTGACTTGCAAGCTAATAGGTGAAGGAAATTGGAGTGGCCAAGGTCGCATTCAAACAGTGTTAATCTTGTTGTTGGGGGTGTAGCGCAGCTCCTTTGAAGCTCCTTAAAGCTGGTCTTGCCACGTCTATGTCAATCTGCAGAGGGTCACAAACACATCAAAGGCAGACTGAAATCTGCCCCGTGGGACACAAAGGAGTTTGTAGAACAACATTAAACTCAATTAACATGGAGCTACCGAGCAAAAAAGGCGTAGAACATTAAACCTTAGCTGGAGCTGCTACTCAATATATAAGGAATAACAGTTACTATACTTGTTCAGTTATGCAAGTTGACCTGAATGCAGTATGTGTATGCGTAAATGTTTTGACCTCTGGTGATGAGAAAACCATTCTCCATGTCTTATGTTTATAAGAAAGCTTTTTACGTCAACATTATACCCCTGACGGATATAATCACACATATTGTTACATGGGCAGCGTCACCAGAATATATAATATAAAGAAGCCAGAATATACATTAAAAGATGGTAAATAAAACTGTATTTTCCTTCACGATGTTCTGGCTGTGAGGGGCCTTGAAACACATTTTAACAATAGAAACCTGAGAGTTTGTGATTACTGTCATTTGAACAACTAAAATGTCAGGTTTCAGTCAGAAGTAGAAATACTGCAAAACCTACTAGCTTTAATTCTGATTTCAACACAAAAAAGTACCATTTGATGTCTGAATTGATAATTCTTGTCATGCAATACCATTTAATCATTAAAACTAAAATGTATTTGGTAACTTGAAGGCAATATTTTTTAATAAAACAGTACACACCACACATTCTTTGTGCCATCTGGCACATATCCAATTGTTTAGGAAAATTGGAGCTTTAATCCAATACCCTCTTCTCCACTGTGACAGCTTGGTGCATCCTGGGAATCTGAATATGTGCGTTGGCGTTTTGCAAGTGGGAATATATTGTCAAGAGATTGGAGTTGAGAATCTTGACAATCGGGTGAAGCAGCCTGAAACATCTCTGGTTTGATTTCTGGAAAGGTCTGATCAGGGTAGATGAGCTTCAGATAATCTTCAAAGAGTTCTTTAAATCTCCTACATGTCACGGCAAGTTCAGTGTTACTCTGGCACTGAAGGAAGATAAAACGAAAAGGATGAAACAGTTTTAATAACAGGTGTCAAGAACTGAATAATAGTTATTGTTGCAGAATATTTGTCTATGGTACCTCACAGCAGGCCACACAGTTTCCAAAGATGAGCCTGATGTCTAATACAAACTCTGCGGGGTTTTGATAGCACATACTCTGCTCAGCCTCTAGACGGTTTTTCACTGTGGAAAAACTCACTGGTCCCTTTATAGTCAGACTGTCATCAGCATGTACCTGTAGTATTTAGAAAGGAAATGATAACAGAACAATAACACATTATTGTCATTTTAGTTTTTTCAAATCTGTGGTGTCCATCGACATGTAAACAGCATGCACATGGGACTATGGAGTTTTACCCTGTTTTGCCATGTAAAAGTTCAAATAAACAGCTATTTCAAGCCAAACCACCAGAATCACACTGACCCCTCAAGTCCAATTATCAAACACTGCAAGTTCTGGGCCTGCAATGAACTTACGGTTTATTTACAGTAAAGCTGCTCTGCCTCTGACTTCTAATTTCTGTCATCACTGATAAATATGGTGCATTACATACAATTAAAATTACAGTTACAGTAACTCCATCTGACAGTAATCCTGTTAATTTTTCCACTATAGTCAGTCTTACGTTCAGACTCACCAAGAGAGATGCAGACTTTTGAAAGACTGAGTTGAGCTCACTGCAAAACAAGTACAGCAACAGCCTCTCACACTTCTGCAACACAAAAAATAAGCCTGAATTAATACATGTCAGAACAACCAAACACATTTCTCCCATCTGTGGTGTGTCAAGCAGAATATTAAACTGGTAAGAGTCGTCTCTCAGGATCTCTCAACACCGTTCTGCTTTGTGTCAGCCCTTGCACTCTTACCAGTTGTTATCAGTTATTAAATGCATGATGCAATGTCAGGCATCTAGCCCTTCAGATACTAAGTTTAACAAACCACTGTTTTAAAGCAATGTAAATGTTTTACCATAAAAATAACAGCCTTGAAATCCTTTTGATGGTAAACTGATTTGTAACAGGGTGAATGACGTCTTTATTTCTACTCCCTGCCTCCAACGCCTGTTCTGGCAGTGTTGTACTTGGAAGTGCAGGTGAAATCTCCTGGGAAAATGAACTGCGTAGCTGAAGACTGAGCCAGCAGACAAGACCCTAGTGTGACAGCACAAGTCTTGGTTGCACGTAGGAGAAGGCAGTGCACTGCAGAAGCAGATGAGAATATTAGCTAACCTAACAGCTATCACGTACAGGATGACTACACATTTACTTTTTCCATCAAACATTTGCTTTATGCATGATTTTTTTAAAAAAAAACAGAACTTTTCTTGTTAAGATAACAAACACAAAATTAAACAAGGAACTCCCTTCTAACCCAAGCTATTTCAATTTCAATTTTATTTATACAGCACAAATCATAA